AGAGGAGTTGATACTCTTTCAGTGTAAGTGCAGTGAAAAATTGAGCGTAGGGAGTGTTGGTGGGCAGTGGCGGCGTAGTGGTAGTCTGGTAGTGCGTGAGGTGTAGTTGCTCCATGACGGTTGCCGGGTTGTAGTAAGCCGTAGTGCCAGGCGTTTAGTGGTTGAAGCGGTAGTTGGCCTCGTTGTAGGTCTGAGGAGGTGGGTTCCTTGGTCACTGGAGCCGGTAGTGACCGCCACGTCAGGTGTAGTCGCCCTGTCAGGCGTAGTCGCGTCTCCCATCGTAGCATCTGCAGTCGGTGGAGCGGCCGTTGCTGCAGTGGAATGCAAAATGTAGTGAAACGGGGCAAAAACAAAATGAGCCTGAGTAGTAGCTATCAGGCAGGCGGCGCACGCAGACATGTAAAACAAACAACTGTAGTGTTGACTCAAGCCGCCAAAAGTGCAAGTGAAAATGCATGTAGATACTGTTACTTACATGCCAAAGGTGTCGTGTTACATGTAGCTACTTATATACAAGAAAATGTCCAAAGTCGTTGTTGTCGTTGTTGCTGTTGTTGTTGTTGTTGTTGTTGTTGTTGTTGTTGTTGTTGTTGTTGTTGTTGTTGTTGTTGTTGTTGTTGTTGTTGTTGCGGTGAAACTGTTGTGCTGCTCGTCCGTAGTGCTAAATGCGTATCCCAATGCTCTGGATGAGCCTGTTTAGTGTTGCCTTGCTGATGTATTTGGTAAACAAATCTGCGCTGTTGTGAAGTGTGTTGATCTTAAGGATTCTAATGATGTCGTGTTTGATGAGGTCTTGTGTGTAGAGGGGTTTGAGGTTGATGTGCTTTGCTCGTTTGCTGGTGCCTTGTCGTGTAGCAATGCTCTTGCCTGCTGTGGAGTCTGTGTGGATGCGTAGGTTTAGCTTGCTGCAAATGTTGGTTTCGAGTAGGAAGTTTCTGAGGTGTACTCCCGTGCAAATGGCGTAGAGTTCAGACTCTGCTGAGCTGAGTGCTATTGTAGCTTGTGTCCTGCTGCCAAATGCAACTGTTGTTCCTAAAAAGATGATGTTGAAACCTGAAGTTGATTTCCTGGTAGTAGGGCATCCTGCCCAGTCAGCATCGACATGAACGTCGAGAGCTAAGACGTTGTCGGTGTTTGCTCTGAGTGTTGTTGTTGGTTCTATGGTGAATTTGTAGTGTTTGGTGCCGTGCAAGTAGCGTAGTGAATGTTTAACTCTCTTTTGTGAAAGTTCTGTAGGTGCTGTGAGGTCTCGTGCTAGTTCTTTTGTAGCGTGTGCGATGTCTGGTTGTGTGTATGCTAACCATTGAAGTTTAGCACTTCATCCTCTATTGTTGGTTTGTAGTGGGCAATTTCTGGAGTGGTCACAGTGTTGTAGTTGGTCATTCCAGACTCCTCGATCATGTTGTTGATGTAGGAGTCCTCCAGTCCAAGGTTGCAGTCGTTGCCAAAGTGGTCAATGTTTCTTCCCAGAAATTGTTGTGGTTTGCCAGGTTCGAGGTAGCCGATGTGCTTGAGTAGGACCTGCTTCTGGACGGCCTCAAAAGTGGAGTCAACCGCAGTCTTGTCCCAAGTACCAGTAGATCGTCCACGTAGACCATGATGCAGCATTCGCGAGTCGCATAGGTGTAGACGTTAGGTTCTGACTTTAGTCTTACAAAGCTGAGCTTTTGTAACGCTTCAGCCAGGTAGTCCTGCCATGCTTTTTGGTGAACTGCGTAGTCCATACATGGCTTTCTTTAGTCGCCAGATTTTGCCCCGTTGTGGACAAAGTTCCTTAGGTGGCCAAAGGTAGACGTCACGTTGTTTACCGTCGTGGTCTTTTGCGATGGGTGCGTGTAGAAATGCTGTAGAAACGTCACCGAGTCGCGCGATCCAGTTTGGTCGTGACATTTGTAGTGCGAGGAGTGTCCGGAGTGTCGTGAACATTGGTGTAGAGGCGTAGACGGAGTCTTCGTCCTCGATCTTCTCCGTGTAGCCTTTCGCGACGGTTCGGCTTCGTACTCCTGGTCCTTGCCTTCTGTGTACCCATCTTGTAGGTATCGCTTCTCTGATGACGTTGTCATTGACGGTAGACGCATCTACTTCGTCGTAGACGTTGTCTAGTGTCATTTGGTTTGACTCGTGTTTCATTCCTTCCAGTAGTTGTGTTTCGTCATAACCTTCGTTGTCGAAGATTATGGGTTGGTCTTCTGAGGTGTCGTCGTTGGTGTAGGGAGTGATGGATGTTCCGTTGGGAAGTGTCACTGCGTTGATTTTCTGTCGTAGTGGTTTGGTTGCTTATTCCATTAATCTGATTGTAGTGTCCTTTGAGGTCTTCTGTGCTTTGGTTGGTTGCGTTACTTCTTCCGGAGTTAAACGTCTTAGTGTTTGTCGAGGTGTGCTGGTAGTGGTGGATGTTGTCGTCCGGTTGGTGAAGTAGCCATAGGACTATCCGGTAGTGGTCGTGAACTTGACGTTGATGTAGACGGAAGTCGTGGAGGTGGTGTAGTGCGTTGTTGTTTCGTTGCGGGTTCCGCAACGATGTCTGTTGTCCGAAATCTTGCGTGGACCTTCTCTTCTCTGACGGTTGTAGTTGCGTGTCCAACAGTGTTGCGAACGGGTTGTAGGTGTTCCGTCGTGGTGCCCATGGAAACTTTGTTCAACAGTGCGAGGTCGTATTGTAGTCTCCGTACTGTTCGTGCCTTTTGTATGCCTGATTCCGTTGCGACGTAGTTTTCTCCGGTTTCGGAAACTTTTCCGAGCCAGATGCATTTCCGCATCCGTAGGTCTGGTTTTGGAAGCTTCTTGTGTTGTGGTGGAAGATAAAGTTGTGTCTCGCCAAACTCGCAGATTGCTTGCTGGTAGTTTCTTCCCCAGCGGCGTTCAAAGCTTGTGTAGCCGTCTGAGTGGATGACGTAGCGATTTACCGTCCATGCTGCGTGTCGTACTAACTATCCGGGGTAGTAGACAGTGCTTCGTGGACGTTGTCATGCTGTAACAGCGGCTGTGCCATCTGGGGCAACTTTGCTCATCTGGAGATCCCGGAATGACCAAGCGAACAATGGCCCAGTTGCCCAGTACTACCGTGTTTTCGTTTTTTGAGAAGGTGGCCTGTAGCATTGACGAACCAAACAGGGTGCTCTTGTGTAGCAAATATGAGTCCAGAAGGACAACTAAGTACCAAAGCTTGGTCCGAGCCTCAGGCCAACCGTTTGTGGACAACTGGTATCTAAGTTTCCATTCTTCCCAGCCCTTCAACACAAGAAACACATGTTTTGCCACCCGACTAGAGTTATGAAGCAGAATGTGAGCATGTTCAACTCTGGCGCCTCATAGTTGGTTGCGCCAAGCTTGCGTAAAACCTTGCCTGGGATTAACATTACCTTTGAAACAACTTGGGTTAATGCAACTAGGTCCACACGGCTTTGAAGGCCGTGAGGTTTTCATGCAATTTCGGCCCGAAACCATGGCTCGTGTGCTCGCTGTGGGTGGCGCAATGTCGCGACCATAAATCACGTCGGGAAAAGACATGAACCTCACGTGCCAAGCAGAAATGTGCAAAACACGTGTCTCATCCCAGCTCCCGACTACTTGCCACCGCGCATTTTTCCGCAACACTTTTTTTGAGTTGAGACACACGCAGATGAGACTTCCTGGGACAGAAATATCAGTCCACACTTTTTGGCGGACTCGAATGTCCACAATGCCACATTGTCGGGCCCTGATCAGTTTCATGCTGGCCCATCTTGCTTCACGGGGGGGCCGGCAACAAATGGCCCCACTGAGTTTAAGCACCCCCCGAAGGAATTCCAATGTCCTTCCTTCCGACAATAATTCAAGCAGACTGACACGGCTTTTCTGGGTTACTACCTCCTGTCCAGGTCCACGATTGTGCGAATAATGTAGTTGTACGGCTTATAGACGGCCGTGGGTCGAAACACGTTTTTTTACATTTGCAAGCCCGCCAGCGCACTTCGCGCACGCGCAGTCGTGTCCTCGCGCGCGTCTCAGCAACGCCTGCTCACGTGCACCCGCTCAGCACTGCGCGCACGCCAGCCAAATGGTAGGCACACGCTCAGCGCTGCTCACACGCTCAGCATTGTCCAAGGATCTTCTCTGCGCTGGCATTCTCTGGCTGGTCTGGCGTCAGGTGGGGTCGGCCTGCGCTAGTATCGGGTGCGCGCGCAGGAGATGAGGGGAGAGCGAAGAATAGCGCTCTATGTTTTCCCTTTGAACCGACCCCAATACAGCAAAGTGGCTTTGTGATGCCCTCTACATGGGGCGGGTGGAGTGAGGCGATGGCGGTAAGCTCGAGCTTTGCAGGCAAGTGCAGCCGGGCGGCCGGACGGGTTGTTGATCAAGCTGGCGCAGGCCAGAAATCGCCGTGGAGACGCTCAAGGTCCAGTGGCTCAAGAGGTGCTGCTGCTTCTTTTGACGCAGCCTCACTTGTGGTTCCCGCTTAGAGGGAGGTGGCTAGGGGAGGGAAAATACCTTCACACCACCCCCGAGCGAGACGCGTGTTTGAAGAAAACAACGAAATCGCGTCGCATATATATATATATATATTTATGTTCACGTGTTCAGGTATAGATATAGATGAACATGATTGTTTGAACTGCCATCTATTGAGTTTCATTTATAGAGAAATAACGTTTTGAACATATGACGCCTTTTGCGCTTGGTTGTGGATTTTGGATGAATCCATAGTCGTCATGTTTAGCTAGAGCACGGCACAAACAGTACAGGCGAAACCCAGAAGGCTGCAAGGTGCAATTGAGGCACTCACGCCGAGACGGTCGTCTACGGCATGAGCGGAGCCGGTCTTCGCCCATATTCGACAAAACATGTTTTCGGCTCGAACGTTCCGGGCAGATGTTGACCTTGGCTTGTAGCCGTGGCCCATTTTGACAGCAAGCCCCATCAAACCTCAAGCAAACGCGGAGCGCAGGCACCCTTCCACAAAGGAGTCACGTGCCAAAAACAGGTTGGGAACCTCCACGAATTCAAGCTCGCAATTCTGCAGCCTCAGCCCTCAGGGACAGCAAGGTAACGTAGCTGCCGCCGAGCAATTCTGCTGCAGGCAGGCGATTTGTGGGATTGCCGGCACGCCTGTGGGTAGGTGTCAGACTAGAGTTTTTCGATGTTGGCTGATCCAGAGGAAAGGGGTTCCAGCGTTTGGCGGAGTCTATTCAACGAAGAGCAGGTGCTTCCATTCTTTAGCCTTTTTGGAGAACCCATAAATGTTCGAACCAAGGATCGACAGTTCTTCATTTTCAAGGATGTGTTGTATTGCTCGAGAAAGTTAGAAAACCGTTTTGACCAGGAGTCAACTCCCGAAGTTTCTCAAAATGGGGACCTGGCATTTGAACCGGGGGGCCCGATTCCTTCGCATTCGGCGCAGGCGCAGGCGCATGGCGACCTTCTTCGCCTACCCGGATCCCTTCATTTGGTGGCAAGTGCTGCTGTACCAGCTGGTGAGTCTTGGGTTGCACAGCCGAGACGTTTTTTCTTTTTGCCGGTTTCCCGGTTGTCGTTTTTCTCTGGCAGAGTCCAAGTACCAGCAAAAAGCGCGCCCATCCACGGCAAAAGACACAAAAGGGCCTAAACACCGGTAAACTCGAAGATCGCACGAACAGAAATCAGCATGCTAAGAAAGTGATCGAGCGAACAGGCGCACAAGCAAAGTAACAACTAAATCAATATGCAAATAAGGCAACAAGCAAAGCCGGCAAGATTGTATGTCAAATCGATCAATGACCAGATTAGAGGACTGATTTAGACATTCACATAGGCAACAAGGCAACGAGGCAAGGAAGGAAGGACCCTTTTTGGAATGTCACAGCTCCAAGTTGCCAGACCCTTTGGTGAATCAGGCCCCTCACCGAGGCATTCTTGCGGATCCTTCCGGCCGAGAGTTGGGCCGAAGAAGCCTCCATGGGATGGGAGTAAGCTGATCTTCTTGCTGGTGCTCGGAGAATGTGGGTTCATTCCCAAAAACTGAAGGTCATTCCCTGAGCATCAGCAAGTCTTTACCACTCAAGGACGTAGATCAGAGCCCATTAGTTAGAGAGACATATCAACAGCTGGTCAAATTGGACTGTCTGGGGCATATTTCTGTGTATTCGGCATAAACTGGCAAACTTCATGTCAGAGGAATGTATCGTGGGTCCTTCCTGTGTGTTTCCCGCCTGTCCCGCGCACATTGACCATAGATAGCTGCATATTCTGACCGACTTCAACTGGCGGCCAATCTGAAACGCTCTTCAACCGAAACATCCTTGATGAAAGCAAGAAGCCATTCCTTGGAAACAAATAGCCCATGCCCAGTTTGGATGGATCATGCTTTGGATTCCTCAAGATAGGGTTCTGCGTAATTGATAGATGATACGTGTGTGTGTGTGTGTGTGTGTGTGTGTGTGTGTGTGTGCAGCTCAAGTCCTTCTACCTGAACGAAAGTTTTTGTTTTCCCTCCTTTGTTAATTGGGGGTTGATCAAGAGGTCCCTTGCGTGGGCTGACCATTGGGGAGACCACTAAAAAGATGACATGTCCATGGGAAAAGCGATGGTCAAAACCGGGGGCCGAAAGGAGTACTGATCAACCCCCAATTGTATGTTTTCCAGAATGGTTTTCGTGTGGCTTCCAAGCTCCGAACTTCGAGGGTGGCCTTGGGCTCCTTCATCATCGGCTGCTTTGGCCTTGGAGGAGGAGACACTCACCCGTCGCGAGGCTTTCGGACCTCGGAATGGCTCCGCAATAAGTCTTGTTTGGACCATTGGACGGGCACAGGCAAACCGAAATGGCCGAGGATTCCTGGTTACGTTTGAATGCGCAGTTCTAAAGTGAAAGGCCGACAGGTCAGCCAGACAAAGGAACTGCTTTGGAGACCAGGGATCCTCTGGGGAATGTTCAAGATTCGGATGCAGAGGTTTGTCTTCATGCTTGTGCTACTGACAGCTAAATCTTCCTTGTTCTCGCCGACCAATTTTTCGCAATGCACCTCCCAATTTTGGGAGCCCTCGAAATCGAAAGCGAGCAAACCTACACTACAGACCGGACCTTTGTCGTTTCCATTCTTTCCAAGCAAAGGGTCTTGGAAAGGTATTGTTTGATGGGAATCATGTTCACAGTTTCCACAGATGCTTGCCAGTCTGCCCTATTGCTCCTAGATCCGACATTCCTTCTCCTGCCACGTCTTCAGCCTGCCTCACCCAAGATGAGGAATGTGCCATACAAACCGACGACAGGCTAGGTGCCCGTGACGAAGCAATGCTTGTGGGCTGGGTGCTATGGTTTTTGATAGATGAGCACTTCCTCTGCGCAGGAAGAGGGTCAGGCGGTCCTCGTCCTTCAGAAATGACTTTAGGCTTGTCAGGTAACAGCGAGTTGTCAGCTGCGGTGTACCCTGATAGTGTATATCAAGAGCATAAACACGGACACGAACAGGCACACACACACAAACACACACACTAGCACGACGCACACAATACACAAAGTGCACACACACACACACACACGAGCGCAACTCACAATAAGCACATACACACACACAAAAACTGAGCACTACACACTATGCACCACACATACAGAGCACACACCACAACCCCCCCCCCCCCCCCCCAACACACAATACACAAACATGACTGGTTGCAGCCGTTCTTTTTCACATGTTTGAGTTGATTTCTCTTTCCACAGGCAGGACGGGTCGGATTGCCAGCTTCGATTGGAGCGTCGTTCGAGTGTTGTTGCTTCGGGCAGGGGACATTTCCAACCTACCGCAATTTTTCCATTGAAGCCCAAGGGAGAAAGTCAGCCGGCCGCATGGGTTCCTAAAGGTGCTTCACCTGGCTGGGGCAGACTCTTGGCTCCAACCAGGGAATGAAACTGGTTTTGGAATGTGGTGGATCCCATTAAAGGAAACCTGGCCATTGTAGTACGTGGCTCTATCCGGTTTGATGGAGGTTATAGTAAAGTCCAGTTTGGTAGAACCGGGGCGCTGACATGAGTCAGACTCCTTGGACGGAAGCTCCCGCGGATGGTAAAGAAGGACAACCAAAAGGGAGAGGTTTACTCAGAGGCTCACATTTGCGTGTGTGTGTAGGTACCCGGGCAAAGATCAAAAGCATGAAGAGTGAACAGACCCCTCTGCCACAATGGCTTTCTCATGTGTGTTCGCTTTTTTGTGGGTTTCCTTTTTTCATCTTAGTAGCTTAAAGGGAAGCCAAAAGGGACAACTCTGTGATGAATCTGCAGGACTGCTCTTTCTGCCCGCGATGCTGCTGCTGCCAAGCTTCGAGCCCCTCGTAGCGGTGCCCACGGTTTTCGTGATGGCATGTGTGGCCAACACGGCGCGGACGATTCAGCTTTACAGGCGCGAGCGATGTGGCGTGCCTTCGAGTCGGGGGAGAAGTGCCGGCTGGCTTTTTCTTTTCTCACAAATTTGGGTTTTGCGAAAATGGTTGGGCAACATGCCGCCTGGGTGTTCTGAAAATGGTCGGTGGTCACAAATGCCAGTGCTAATGAGGTTTGCCAAAGAGCCCCTGAAATTGCCCAGCTGTGTTCAACACAAAACTTAAAGCGATGCCAGGCCGTTGCATGGCTGGGGGCGAAACATTGATCTGCGTTGGACTAGGAACCTGTGGCTGTTCGCGAAGCCAACCGTTGAAGTGCTCTAGGCAGGTCAGGTGTTTGTGGGTTCCTATCCAATTGCAACTGATCACTGATTAACTGGCGCCGCTCTGTACGTTTGACCTTTGGGGTGTTTGTCACCTTGCACTGGGCGGGCGAACAAGCTCAAGGTTTATTGACTAGGTCTATTTGGTGGCTGCGGACCCTTCCTGGATCTACTTTGGACTGTTTCAAGGGGCCAATTTGACACATGGTGGCAACACAACAAATTGATCCGGTGGAGTGACTTCACTCATGGAAACGTAGAAAGGCCAGTTTGGTGGGGGTTTGTGACGGTGAGTTGATGGATCACGACAGCTTGCTTGGCACTGGTACTCGGGCTTTGTCAAGAGAAGGATCCCCACGCTGGGCTTTGGTTTTGCTCTTGTTTGATCGTTTGATGTTTGCATTTGGAGGCAGCCAGAAGGCCCTGTTGTTGTGATTGCTTTCGGTTGCAAACACAATCTTTCTTTACCTCACACGAATTCAGGCCACGACCACCCCTTTCCAAGTGCAAACCAACCTCAGCCTGATTTTCAACTCCTCCAGAACAGCCAGACAGAACTTTGCCTGAAGCTTTTTGCCATGGTACTGGCTTTCTTTGAGAATTCAATAGTTCAAGGCTGTGGCCAGGGCCTTTGCGGTTCTCTGATTCAGGCTGGGATTCATCAGCTTCCGGGAGAACTGGCCAGTGATGCCGCTCGCGCTGAAGAAAAGAGATGCAGCCAGTTAAATTGACGTAGAGGTGTGCCGAGACATCTTTTGGCCTTCACTGCCACGCGTTTGATCGCTTCTTGCCGCATTGGCATCAAGTAGCACCTGACCCAGTGGCCTGATGGGTAAGGTGTTGCTTCTGCCTTGCAGAACTGTGGTCGGGCCCCGCCCTCTGTTTGTTTTGTTTGTTTTGTTTGTTTTGTTTGCTTGGCTTTGAATTTCAATGCGGAAACATGGGGCCCCCTGAAAAGCTGCGGCTGATTTCAAAGGCACTGGCCTTGTCAGTTTTCCTGGAACTTACTTTCAGTGGATTCAACCATGCATCCAAGAATGTCGATTGGCCATGCGGCTTGTGCCCGGGTTCATATGCGAGCTTCCTTTGGCCACGACTTGGGAATTTGCCTACCAAGCTGCTTCTTGATGCTCATGGTACTCCTAACGGCATGGGCTCTTTGGGCATCTTTTTCTTTTTATTTCTCCTCACCGCCGCGTTGGGTTCGAAGTCGGATTCTGGGAGACCTCTCTGGACCCAAGAGCCGCGTCGCTCGAGGGTGGGCGCCTTTATCGGCGGCGCCCTGGGCCAGCTTCTGCTGCTCTACATCCCGGCGGTGGGGGCGTCAGGGGACGCGCCGGCGGATGGGGCGCCTGATGTTTTTGTGGTTGGGACGGCCCACTTGGGAACATCTGAATGTTGAGCCAGAGCAGATGCCTCCCTTCTGTGGCCAGTCAAGGCAAGGCGCTTGAGGCTCCAAGCGTTGACATGTTTTGCTCAGGGGAGGAGGGTGCATGATACCGCTCTTCAAAAAGACGTGGCCATTTAAGCATCCTGGTGTTTAGATTTCTAGTTCAAGGTGTGGTTGAGCACATGCTGTTCTTACCAGTCTCCTGCTCACCAGGATAGCCTTCAAGGAGAGAAGCCACCTCCACAGCTTGCTGTCAAAACACAACGTCTGCCAAGGTCAAAGCCCTTGTTCGATTCTGTGGCCAATGTCCAAAAGAGTTGGCAGGCCTTTGTTTGGGACCCCTTTGTCATTTTGTGCCTATTTCACCCCCCCCCCCCTTCAGGTTGGCATTTCCATTTTTTTTCTCACCCCCTTTGTGCCTTTATCAACACCCCTTTGCCCATCCCTTTGCCCATCCCTTGGCCCACCCCCATGTTTCTTTGGCCGCGGCAGCTTCGCCAAAGGCAGTGGCCGCGCTCCTGGTGGCGGCGGTGGCCGTGATGGGGGGCTTCCAGGTGCAAGTCTGGGTCTGCAAGCAGTGGGCCAAGGCCAAAGCGGCCAAGGCCGAGGCGGAAGCGGCGAGGGTAGAGGCGCGGGCCCCGAGTTCAGTGTCCGAGTCGGGTGTTGGGGAAGGCGGCACTCGATCTGAGCTGGGAAGCATTTGAACTTGTCTTCTTTGTTTTGGTGTATGTATACATGGCTGTGGGTCAAACATAGGTACCCAAAATGGAACCCTGGTAAATGGACACATGGACCAAAATCTGCGGTCCCCTGGAGATTTATTATTGACCCACACCCACATAGACAGAATATATATATATATATATAATATACATGTGTGTGTGTGTCAATCAGTGCTTGACACAAGGACCAACATGACACCATATGGATGAGGTTCCTAGCTTTGATGCACGGATTGAGGTGCGCATCTTACTTTCCAACACCGAGATATCTTGAATGTTCCTCAAGGAACATGATTGCTCAGCAGCTGCTTTGGAGTCAATGGGCTTGTAGGCTAGGATGAGTGCAACAAGGCCAAAAGGACGGCAACTAGAAGACATCCTCACGACTCATTCAACAAGAAACGTCTTAGTTAGAAAACGAACAGCCCTTTGGGCCGGAACCCAAGGAGACTGTTGCGGATGAAGCTGGCAATGACCCCCCTGATGATGCCGTGGCAGATGAAGCAACGCCAACCCAGGCGAGTGGAACCTCCGGCGAGGTGAAGAAATGGGTTACCAAATCGTCGTTTCCTTTCGGAGTTTCGGTTTCCCTTTACACCAAACTGAATTGCGGGGATCCGGCTGGGCAATAAGAACGCCCCTCAGGTGGAGCCCAAAGTCCAGGAGCTGGCGGAGCAGAAGTCTGCTGCTGGAAGCTCGGTCAAATCCACCCATTTCCGGCAGCTTCTGATGGTGCTGGTGGCGCTGGTGGCTGCATCGCTGTCCTCCGTCGGAGGCTTGGGGGGTCCAGTCATTTTCATGCCCCTCTGGCTGATGATCGAGAAGGACTGCGGGCTTGGCTTGTCCGAGCCGACCATTCTTTTCCGCCTTGTTTTGCACAAGGCTGCGACCAATCCCGCAAGTGCGTGTAAGCGGCCTCAAACACAAGTTTGTTTAATTTGTAGACAGATCTTCCCTTTATAATGTTGGTTTGCAGTTTTTGCAGACCCTTCACGTCTCATGTTTCCACGTGACCCTCGTTTCTGGTTTTGGGGTTGATGGGTCCTGGGTTGGGCTCACTTGTTTTGGTTTCTTTTCCACTCTTTGGCTGGTTGCAAACTCCCATCTGATATTCCTTTATGTCTATCAACACATTTTTCGATCATTTATTTACAACAAATAATGCTGTAAACAGTCGCTAAAAACAGTACATATATACATATGTATATATATATATATACACATACATAAAGAAAACATGGTCACCGCCCCCCCTCCCCAGGGCCTACCTTTCCTCTTTTCTAGTTGAATGTGTCAACCTACTCTGTGTGCTTCGTTTTTGCGGATGCCCGAAAACACTGTAACTTTTTTTTTCTCCTCAGACAGCACATGTTTGTTGTTTCAAGGCTTGAAAGGCGACAAAGCGGGAACGGAATCCGTTTTCAGATTCGAGTCTGGCTTTGTTTGAAAAGAGTTTTGTTTCTTCTTGTTTCAGTGGGTTTGAGTGCACCAGAGCTCTGAGACTTGTAAATGCTAAAAACATCTCCAGACCAGTGTTTGTTTCGCCACTAAGTCATACATATTTGGGAATGAGTTAATAGTAAAATTTGCTTGCAAAGGCCAATTGAGTTCTTTCCAGATTAAGCAGTCATTTTTGGGTGACAAGTCATGTTGAGTAACAACAGCAAAGATTTTATACATTTTCCCGAAAGTTTATAAGCTATGTCAAGGGTTTGACGGTTTCCCTGCAACAAGGAACAAGGCAACACTTGGGGAGAGGTTGAGAAGTCTAGGACGGGGGGGGGAGGGAGGGGGGACGGGGGGGGGGGAGAAGTTTTTACAAAGTTGGTCGAGTCACATCTCACTGCAAAGACTTCCAACCCCCCCCCTTCCGCCCCCTCCCCCTCGCCCCTCCCTCCACCCTTCAACGATGCCATGACCCAGGTTGTTGCCTTGTTGTGGGAAACCGCGAAACGCTCAGGAAGGTTTATAACTTTCCTGAAAGTTTACAATTCTTATGTAGGCTTATTGCGTAGCAAACGGATACTGTTGTTTTAGGACAAAATGTTGTTTGGGGGCAACAAAACAATCTTCGGTCCAAGGGAACACAATCTGAGCAAATTCTGCAAAACACGGCGTTTTGCAGCATTTTGTTGGACCTCTAATGGAGTTCTCCAACATGTCCTCCAAATATGATTTCCTTTTCAAATAAAATTTTACTCCGAATCGAATTGGAATGTTGAATATATTTTAGTAAGGAGATAGTTCACCACAATCCACAATTCACCATAATTTCTATATTCAGTCAGAATTTGAATAGGAGTTCCTTTCCACATAGGGACAATTAGCATTTAAGTAGAGTTTGATATACTTGATACAGACAGAACTCAATTGGCTTTTGAACATAAAAGTTAAATTAGGAATCCCTTACAACATATGCAACAACAGTGCACTTGCTCACACCTCTGTCTTTAAAATAAGAGGGTTTTACATTTTGAAGTGGAAAGGTAGGCCTGGTGTGTGTGTGTGTGTGAGCATATATATATATATATATATATGCATGCTACCCCCCCCCCCCCCCCCCCCCCCGTGGTGCTGTGTTTTGTGTGTTTGCCTCCCTTCTTTTTGTATCAGTTCGCCTTGTTGGCTGTTTAAAATGAAATCTATGATTTTTAGTTCTGAAATACTAGCCAGAATACTATACTCTATATAATATCAGGTAATTTCTTTTTAAGCAGCTTTTGGGCTGGGGTCGCCTGTTGGATAAAACGGGTTTCGGGTTGAACATAGGCGCATGTATCTTATTAAAGATGGTTAATAAGAAGAAAAACACATTTTCTCATAATGTGCATTGTGTGCTCTTTAAACAAATGTTTGCTTTCTTTTGTTGATAAGTTGGTTTTAGGAGATAATGTGCTTTCGCAGTCCTCGCAGGTGTAGGCTGTTTCACGTTTCTGTTGTAGTAGTTCTGGTGGTAGGTCTTTTGGTCGTCCCTCAACCTCACGGGTTGCTCGTCGCTGTCGCTTGGAGTCTGGCTCTTCGTATGAAATTCGTCATTGGTTATTCTGTGTTTTCCATTACCATTTATGATATTTCCCGCAGTTTTATTATATTAGGGCGTTTTTTCTTCAAGTAGTTTTATTTTTTGCCTTTGCCTCTGGCGAGAGTCTATCTTCCTTTTGTTTTTGTTGCTCTTCCATTGTCAAGCATATCCTTGTATCTACTAAATTCATGTTTTGTCATTTTCCAGTTGTTTAAACCTGCTTTGAATGCTTCGTCCAACAGTTGTATATTCATTCGGGAGGGTGCTGTCTTATCCTTTTGTATTGTCTTTTCGGTTTGGTTATTTCGGGTGTCTTGTCGTCTTTATCTTTGTGTCTGGTAGCAATCCGGATGAAGATGACGCCGTTTCTTGTGCTATTTCAGGAGTGGGCTGTATTGCTTTTAGCATCTTCTTTCTTTATTTAGCACGCCAGGCTTTGCCAAGCGTCATTTTACTTTTTGCTTTTGGTTTCATCCCTTCTGGTTCATCGCGTTCTTGTCGTTTTTGTGCGTCGTCTCTGATGCTTTCTATTGTCATTGTTTCGCTTTCATCCATTGTTGTTTCTTTCACTGACGCCGTTGCTTTTGTTTTGCTTTCGCTTCTGCTTTTTGTGTGTTTTGATGGTTTAATTACTCTTGCTACTGTTTCTGGCACCTGAGAAGAATTTGAAGCAACGGTTGCGTTAGGATTTGCCACATCTTGAAATGCTTGTGTTCCTTGACCTAAACTTTCGTCATTTTCTTTTTAATCGTTGGTTCATTTCATCAAAATGTTGTTGTCTAACATCAACTTGTCCGATTTGTAGTTCGTGCTGTTCTTAGGCATCTTCCATTGTTGCGTCCAGTCCCTCTATCGCCTCGTCTCTTAGTCCATCCATTCCATCGTCCCTTGCCATATCAAACTGTTCAACGGTTTTAGGTTGTGATAATATTTCTTGAAACTGTTGCTGTCTCAAATCTACGGTAGTATTGTCATGAACTGTTCCCAATGGACTCTCGCGAAAACAATAAGCGTTTCTGTCTATTGCATCTCTGACATTCTTATTTTTATATTCTTCCTTTGTAATTTCCTTTCTTAGTTTTTTTTCCCGACGGTTTCAATCTTAATTGTGATTTTAGTCTTGTCTTTTCATTTGTGTACTGTCTAGTCTCACTATATGAAATCACCTAGAGTATCATTTTATTAATCTAATTAATTCATTCAAAGTCATAATCCTTTCTTAATTGGTTAATATTCTTTTTTATCTTCTTAATAATTTCTGAGTAGGTTTTACCTGTTTCGCTTGATGGGTGATGTCGCAGTCTTAAACCTTCTAGCCTTTGGATTTCATTAAAGTGTGCTTGTGCTTCATCTTGATATCTTGGCCGGTTTTGACATAGCATTGTCTTTCTTTGCGTTATGATATTCTACTTGTTCCTTGAGGTTGGCGTGTTGAGCGAGAACCTGAAACCCAGACTGCCCGACCGGTAACCCCAGCCCGAAAACTACTCAAAGAGAAAATACCTTACACAGTAAGAGAAAAATGAGCGAGGGTAACATGTCTGAACATATTTTTTTGCTTGAGAATTGGACTAACTTACCTGAGGGTTCAGTAGTAAAAAGAGAAAGTAATAACTTACCCGTTGAAATATTGAGTAATACTATTTTCCGTAAATTCGGACAATCAGAATATATGAATATGATACATGTCATAATAATGCATGAATGAAATAATATAGGAATACATACTATCAGGTTTAGACTAGTTATTACTGCAACTCAATTCAATTTTCTAGTGTGATTATACCATTTCATCACCTTATATGTTATAATTGTACTACACTTTCAACTTTTTACAAACATTTAACAACATGGCGAAACAAAGGAACCACCCAACACCCCAGACATAATATGAACTCAAAGCCCTAGCGCTTTCAAACGAACAAAACATAATTCTCCAGAACGATAATGAAACAATGGAAGCAAACCCAAATGTGTAACCTCTAACAAAACGAGAAAAACCATCCCCCAAACACCCCTTTTCAAACCAAATAAGGGGGTCAACAGGTTTGAGACTAACATAAAAACCAGAACAGGCAACCAACACCCCACCCCACCATTTTTGCACCCACCACCCACCATTTTTTCACCCACCCCTACACCCTGCTACACCCACCCCCTACCCCCCTCTACCCCCTGCCCTCGGGTAGGACATCCCTCCGAAGAAGCTCCAGGGCATGGCCTCGACCTTCGCCTGCGTCTTCATCCCCGTGGCCTGCGCGGTTGGCCTGGCCCTGGGGCACCCGGATGTGGGCTTCGGGCTCCTCTGCAGTGGGGCGCCGCGGCGAAGAAACCCATTGGGAAGAGAAGACCCTTTTTGGTCCACACCTATACACATATATATATATATATATAATATTGATATTTTTTTTTTTTTGTTAGTAAGATCTTTGTGTACAAAAGTGAGTGTCCTTTGCACCCCATTCATTTGCCCCTTGTCAATTCCTAAGAGAATCGGGTTGGCCCAAGCACGAAGGCTTGCGCCCGATTCCCAAAGCGCCTATTGACCATGAGGGTTTACCTGCTAGACGCAAAATGCATGGCGCCGATCTCACAAGCTCAACACTTCGGAATGCCATCTGAAAGGCAACGTGTGTCTTTACGGAAGGTCGAGCGTTCCGAGTTTCAATTGGGGCACTCCGCGACTGGGATATAGCAGCTTTTGGTGGTGCATATGTCTCCCCTAGGCAGGGCATTCCTGATCAAAATGACCAGTTCCATAAATCCCCGCGTATGTCCTCCGTCCTTCCCAAATTGCGGGTGGAACTTGTTGCTTGAACTAGGTCTCGGTGACCTTCATGCTACTGGGGGGTTTGTGCATGCAGCGGCTCAGCGACAGCAGCCTGAAGCTGGGCATTGGGGTCCTGCTCATCGTGGTGGGTTTGGCGCTGGGGGCCCGGACCGGCGTGCAGCTCAGCGAGGTCTGAGGTCGGTCTGAGCTCCATGCAGCTCGGCGCGGCTCTGAGATCGATCTGAGATCTGTCGGTTGATTTGGAACGTTTGCACATGGTGAAGGTTTGCACAAGTTCCGTTGCAGGTTTCAAGGCGGTTGAGAGGCCGAGATATTGGTAACGGATGATGCTTTTCTAGACCTTGGGCAAACATGTGGCCCCGATCTGGCACCAAAAGAGGTGGTATAAGGACACAGGTCTGAGAGCGGCGACTGAGTTATGTGAGTCAATATTTACCATTTGTAGAAAGTCGGGACTGGGTCTCACCAAATTGCCAGGAAATGGATTGGTCCACCCAAATACAAGGTCGTTGGGGCCCGAGACATTGGCAGTTGCTCTGGACCCCGCAAATTTAACTTGCTGGTCCGACAGGGAATCAACAGGGGCTTTGGGATTGAATTGGGCTTGGATCTGGAAGGACGGGTTGGTTTATAGGGGTCACTGCCGCCTGTCAAACAGCAGGTAAAAACTCACACACACACACACACGCACACACTTGTTGAGGCTGGGCCCATCTTGGTGAACCATCCTCAAAACTACCCAAATGAAGATGATTTGGAAGCGGCGGAAACTCAAAGGGAACACCTGTTTCCCTGGCTGGGGGAAAGCAGCTAGGTATCAGTCCTTTTTCGGTGGATTTAGGGCCTCAGATCTTTTACCGGCCTGGACGTGCAGATGTTTCGAATTCGGCGCATCTTTCACCCTGAAGGAAAGGTACCTTGTGACCGCAAGCGTTATTGCCAAATTGCACATGCCAATTGGCGGAGACTTTGCGCGACAAAAGGGCGAGGAAAATGCATTGCGTGCCAAATACACATGCAAGCCAGCTGAGTTTGCAGAAACCTCTTGCGGCTTCCTGTCTTTGCTGGAGGTGCAAAGCAAGTTTTGAGCTGCAGCGTGCTGTAAGAAGACGCCTCTGAGGCAATTTCCATGCAGCTGCATCTCGAGTCAAGCTCGTTTCGCTTTCAAATCTGAGAGGTAGCTCGGCAAGTCAGTGGACGACATGGCTGAAGGCAAGAAGGAGGGCAGCAACATGCAGGCGTTCCTGCTGGACTTCATGTTGGGTGGGGTGTCAGGTGCTGTTTCCAAGACTCTGACCGCTCCCATCGAGCGCGTGAAGCTGGTCGTGCAGACTCAAGACGCGAACCCCAAGATCCGCAGTGGCGAGGTGCCTCGTTACACCGGAATGGTTGACTGCGCCCAGCGTATCTTGAAGGAGCAGGGCATGAAGCGTTTCTGGGACGGCAACTTCACCAACTGCCTTCGCTACTTCCCCACCCAGGCGTTCAACCTGGCCTTCAAGGACACATTCAAGAAGATGTTCCCCAAATACAATCCCAAGACCGAGTTTTGGCAATTCTTCGGCGCCAACCTGGTGTCTGGTGGCCTCGCAGCAGCAGCCAGCATGACCATTGTGTACCCCCTGGACTATGCTCGAACAAGACTGGCTTCGGACGTGGGCTCTGGCAAGGCTACTTTCAGTGGCTTGGGTGATTGCCTGGTCAAGACTGCCAAGGGACCAGGTGGGTTCTTTGCCCTGTACACTGGCTTTGGTGTGTCGGTCGCGGGCATCATCGGCTACCGTGGCCTGCAGCTGGGCACCTTTGACACCATCACGGGCTTGAACCCTTACAAGAAGGATCCTGGTATGATGGGTGCAGTCACCACGTTCGGAGCTGCACAGACAGCCATCACCATTGGAGCAGGAGCCACCTACCCCTTTGACACCGTGCGAAGGCGGCTCCAGATGCAGTCCGAGAAGCCCGTGGAGGAGCACATCTACAAGGGCACCCTGCATTGCTTCAAGACGATTGCTGCCGAGGAAGGTAGCTGCCTCAGGGTTTGCAATGTTTTGTATGCATGTTGTTTGGTTGCTGAATGAAGCCAAGCGGATTGCAGCTTGTGGCTGCATTGGGCTAAGGCCTCATGAAGGGTCTCTACAAGGGATTCCTTGCCAACGTCGTGCGCAGCGTCGGCGGAGCGTTGGTGCTTGTCCGGGCCTTAGGAGTCAATCAACCAAGTTGTGATTGCCTGCCTTGAACAACAGCCAATGAGCTGATGTCACACGCGCACGCATACCATACAGGTCCAACCAGATGTGTTTTAGGGTTTTACTTGTCAAATGTACACACACACACACACACGCAGACACACGCAGACACACGCAGACACACAGACACAGAGACACAGAGACACAGCAGAGGCAAATAGAGCAAACAGAAGCACGGACACGCACACAGACAGACGTGTGGACTGAGGTCTTGTACGACCGCGCCAAGATGTACCTCGCAATGTGAAGAAGCCCTCAGGCACGCAGGGAGACTTTGCTTGAGGCTAGATGATTGGGGGGTTTGGCACTGGGTCAGTAAATGCTTTTGCTGTTCATGCAGCTGGCAGTGGATGTGTATGGCCTGCCAAGACTTGAGAAGCAGGCAAATGAGATGCTGGTGACTGAATCTATCAGCGAGTTCCGATCGCTTTACACGGCTGGCATGTGAGATGCTCTTAAGACCTCCTTGATGCTGTTTCCTGAAACCAGGGCAGCCCACGTTTCCCCGTACTCAGCACGCACAGCACGGGATGATTGTTGTGAGCTGGTCAATGCAGGTTGCACGCATTCAGCAATGTTGCATGTGCCCGATTCTGTTTCAACAGGCTCTCGGCTGTGCAGAAAGACATTTTGGCATGGGGTTGCGCTCGCTTCGGGTGAAAATAATCACGCCAGAGCTGCTTGGTGACTTGCTGAAGGTGTTCGCTCATGAGTTCAGTAAGCCCAGCTGTGCTACTTTGCAGACTTTGTTGTAAAAGGTTCACCAGGTTTGGCAACATCTGACGTTGCTGCGTATTTATGCAACTGGCATCGCTTGATTTGGCTTCGCAAGCCTTTCGTCAAGCTTCTTCCTGCGCTAGAGCTCGCTGCTAGACGCAATGGCTGAAGGCAAGAAGGAGGGCAGCAACATGCAGGCGTTCCTGCTGGACTTCATGTTGGGTGGGGTGTCAGGTGCTGTTTCCAAGACTCTGACCGCTCCCATCGAGCGCGTGAAGCTGGTCGTGCAGACTCAAGACGCGAACCCCAAGATCCGCAGTGGCGAGGTGCCTCGTTACACCGGAATGGTTGACTGCGCCCAGCGTATCTTGAAGGAGCAGGGCATGAAGCGTTTCTGGGACGGCAACTTCACCAACTGCCTTCGCTACTTCCCCACCCAGGCGTTCAACCTGGCCTTCAAGGACACATTCAAGAAGATGTTCCCCAAATACAATCCCAAGACCGAGTTTTGGCAATTCTTCGGCGCCAACCTGGTGTCTGGTGGCCTCGCAGCAGCAGCCAGCATGACCATTGTGTACCCCCTGGACTATGCTCGAACAAGACTGGCTTCGGACGTGGGCTCTGGCAAGGCTACTTTCAGTGGCTTGGGTGATTGCCTGGTCAAGACTGCCAAGGGACCAGGTGGGTTCTTTGCCCTGTACACTGGCTTTGGTGTGTCGGTCGCGGGCATCATCGGCTACCGTGGCCTGCAGCTGGGCACCTTTGACACCATCACGGGCTTGAACCCTTACAAGAAGGATCCTGGTATGATGGGTGCAGTCACCACGTTCGGAGCTGCACAGACAGCCATCACCATTGGAGCAGGAGCCACCTACCCCTTTGACACCGTGCGAAGGCGGCTCCAGATGCAGTCCGAGAAGCCCGTGGAGGAGCACATCTACAAGGGCACCCTGCATTGCTTCAAGACGATTGCTGCCGAGGAAGGTAGCTGCCTCAGGGTTTGCAATGTTTTGTATGCATGTTGTTTGGTTGCTGAATGAAGCCAAGCGGATTGCAGCTTGTGGCTGCATTGGGCTAAGGCCTCATGAAGGGTCTCTACAAGGGATTCCTTGCCAACGTCGTGCGCAGCGTCGGCGGAGCGTTGGTGCTTGCCCGGGCCTTAGTGCAGACACACCCACCCATACACACACACACATTGCTCGCAAACCCACACGCACGTGCAGACACACACACACACAACAAAATGACACACACACACATAGCAAGGCACAAATTTTCAAGAATGTCTGTACGAAGACCGCAACACAACACACCGACACACGAATACACAAGCACACAAACACATGAACGCACAAATATACACACGAAGACACAAACGCACAACACACACAAACAGCACACACACACACACACCCAAACCCACACCCACACCCACACCCACACCCACACCTACACCCACACCCACACCCACACCCACACCCACACCCACACCCACACCCACACCCACACGCACACGCCCACGCGCACGCGCACGCGCACGCACACGCACACGGACACGCACACGCACGCGCACGCGCAGGCGCACGCGCACGCGCAGGCGCACGCGCACGCGCACGCGCACTCGCACTCGCACCCGCACCCACACCCACACGCACACGCACACGCACACGCACACGCACACGCACACGCACACCCACACACACACACACACACCCACCCACCCACCCACCCACCCACCCACCCCACCACCACCCCACGCAGCACGCCACGCACGCACGCACGCACGCACGCACGAGCCGCACGCCGCCGCCGCATGCCCGCACCCCGCCCCGCCCGCCCGCCCCCCGCCCGCCCCGCCCGCAGCCGCCCGCACCGCGCGCGTCGGCGCGCACGCGCGCGCACGTCGCACGCGCGCACCGCGCGCAACAACGCGCAACAGCGCGCAACACCGCACACGCGCACACGCGCGCACGCGTGCACGCAGCGCACGCGCGCGACGCGCGCACGCGCGCACGCGCGCACGCGCACGCGCGCACCGCGCGCACGCGAGCACACGCCCACAACGCACACGCACACGCACACGCACACGCACACGCACACGCCCACGCCCACGCCCATGCCCACGCCCACGCCCACGCCCACGCCCACGCCCACGCCCACGCCCACGCCCACGCCCACGCCCACGCCCACGCCCACGCCCACGCCCACGCCCACGCGCACGCACACGCACACGCACACGCACACGCACACGCACACGCACACGCACACGCACACGCACACGCACACGCACACGAACACACGCACACGCACACACGAACACACGAACACACGAACACACGAACACACGAACACACGAACACACGAACACACGAACACACGAACACACGAACACACGAACACACGAACACACGCACACACGCACACGCACACACGCACACACACGCACACACGCACACACACGCACACACGCACACACGCACACACGCACACACGCACACACGCACACACGCACACACGCGCAGGCACACGCGCAAACGCGCACACGCGCACACGCACACGCACGCACACATGGACTCGCGCACACGCGCACACGCGCACACGCGCACACGCGCACACGCGCACACGCGCGCACGCGCACGCGCACGCGCACGCGCACGCCCGCGCGCACACGCACGCGCACGCGCACGCGCGCGCACGCACACGCACACGCACACGCACACGCGCACGCACACGCACACGCACACGCACACGCACACGCACACCCACACCCACACCCACACCCACACCCACACACACACACACCCAACACACGCAACACACGCAACACACGCAACACACGCAACACATGCAACACACGCAACAGACGCAGCACGCGCAACGCACCCAAGCCATGCAGAAATCGCAATACGCACGCAAGACACCCACACACAACACACGCACACACGCACACACACAGAACACAAGCGCACACACACACTCTGCGAAGCACACTGCAACACACAGAATCACACAGAACCGCAGAGAAATGCAGAAACACACACACACACCCTAAGAGAAACAAAGACATAAACACAAGCACAAGAACAATCGCGCAAACACACACGAACACAAACCCTCAAACACACACACAAACACACACACACAACACACACACACACACACACCCACCCACCCACCCACCCACGCACCCACGCGCACACACACACACACACTCGCACGCGCGCGCGCACGCACGCACGCACGCACGCACCCACCCACCCACCCACGCACGCACGCACGCACGCACGCACCCACCCACCCACACACACACACGCAACCACACACACACGCAACCACACGCACACACACACCCACACACCCACACACCCACACACACACGCACGCACGCACCCACCCACCCACAAACACACACACGCAACCACGCACACACGCAACCACACGCACACACACCCACACACCCACACACCCACACACACACGCCCACGCACACACGCACGCACGCATGCACGCACGCACGCACGCACGCACGCACCCACCCACCCACCCACCCACCCACCCACGCACGCACCCACACACACAGACACACACACACACCACACACACAACACACACACCACACAAACACACCACACACACACACCACACACACACACACTACACACACACACGCACACGCACACGCACACACACAAACACACACACACAAAAACACACACACACACACACAAAAACACACACACTAACACACACACACACCCACACCCACACCCACACCCACACCCACACCCAC